TAGGCCCGAAGCAACAAAAGATAATTAACATATACAAGTTTGCCATGGATATGCAAAAGTACCATATCTACAGTATGAGAACATTTTGTTATAATTGACTTCCCTTATTTGCATAACACATATGGAGTATGGAAAACACATGGAATAATATCTCATTTACAATTCTTACAAGTATTTGTATTGATAGCATTGCTCAAAAAGAGTTGTCTGAAAATAAATATTTTCCAAGTTGTTAATGCATCTCAACTATGATTTCTTTAGGGTGTTTCTAGGATTTTTAGCAGTTTTTATTTTGGTTCTCACCAAGACCTGCTTGGTTATACTGGAAGGTATTTGCTCCATGAGTAATTGCTCCATGAGTGGCTGCAATTAGCTGTGGGAGCTATCAGCCTCCAATTGTTTGTTGTTCAATGGGGCTGCCTGGTGGGTTTCTCATGGACAATCGCTAACAGCTCCATTTAAAAGTGTGAATGGGACCTAAGGATGTGTTTGATGCCAAGTAACTCCTTCCCCCTGGAACACTGTAGTTCCAGCTACCTGTAGCCTATAAATAGCAGAGAAATCCTAGGAATGATTGATGGGACAGAGTATTAGAGCCTCTTTTCACTTTTGCGGTGAGTTAACATACATTACATTAATTTTTTGTTTTTTTTTTTTTGCGCCAACAAGTTGCGGGCCAGGAAATCCCTCTCAAAAGCCCACCTTCAGCTCATCAGAGTAAAAAAAAAAGATCTATGGAGTTCAGGTATAGATTAGTTTGGAGGATGCCCGAGCGCATCTCAGTTAGTCAGCTTATGGAGAGGCAGGACAAAAGGAAGAAAGAGCCTCTCTTTTAAAGCATTGTTAAATTTATCACATTTACATACAGTATCATCCCTTCCAAAATGAATCCAAAAATCAATTGAGTATATTCCTCATTGTAGGTTAGCGGTTGATGTGAGATATGAAAGTAAGCCTGCAGAACTACTCCGCAAATAGCGAGACTTACTTGTTACTTAAGGTAAAAGGTTAAAAAGGTTGAAAATTCCATATTTTTATTCTTAAAAGAAATGTGTACATTGGAGAGGCATCTTGTTTCAGAGGGGCAATCCTCCTTCATAATTCAAATAAATCTTTGCACTCAGATTGAATAATACATAAAAAGCGGCTGACACAGGAATAAATACAATCCCTCAAATATATGCCAAAAAACGTGTAGTGCTAAACAGTGTTAAAGTCCATCAATTGTATACAAAAGTCTGTGCTCGAATAAACTTCTTAAGCCCTGGTTCACATATATGCAGCTGTGCGGGGCGCGTTTTGCACGGGCACGAGAGCCCATTCATTTGAATGGACTCCCGTGCCCCGTGACTTCCTTGCACTTTTTTGGAAACCTGCAGCCCGCATGGAAACCGCAGTTTATAGTACAGTTGTGATTTTCAGTTCAGGCGGCGTGCCATTAAAACTAATGGCACCCACCCGCGGGTCCGCATTCCTCTGTGCGGGTGGCGCGGCTGCACGGATTTTCGTCCGCCCGCACAGATGTGAACCTAGCCTTAGTAAGTGAAACCAAACCATCAAAAGGTACGGAGAAATCCACATTCAGTGAATTAAAAAGGGAGGGAGATGAGACCTCTAAGATCCTTGTGAAAACGACAGACATAAATGAACTCTTACCAGAGCTATTGGGCTTTTGTATTAAAAAAGCCAACATCGCTTTAGCGGTTAACCCCAAACAAATGTGTAGCGCAGAGCTGGTTCTGCCCATGGCTCCTTTCCAACTCCATATTTCCACCGGTAAATCATGCAAGGAATAAACACTGATAGTGTAGTATGCCCAAAACTTCCAAGGAAACGGTGAGCGCTGTGATTGGCTCAAATAATCCAACACGCGGTGTTCATGGGGGTTGTAGTCCCGGCCAGCCCCAGTCCTCCTAGTACGAGCTATTCCAGGAAAGCCCAACTGAGAAATACTCCTTCATGCCCATTTATTTTTGCTTTGCACAAAAAAAAAAAATCTTTTTATGCTTCTTAAAAAGCATGCCCTCATTCATATGAACCCAGGGGTGTATTTACCACAAGGCAAACAAGGCATTTGCCTAGGGCGGCATTTTTCGGGGGGGGGGGGGGGGAGTGGCATTTTTCGGGGGGCAGCACTGCCCCCTGAAAGAAGGGATGGAAGTAGAAACGCACGCCAAGTGTGATCTGAGAGAGGCTGTGGGCTTCTTGATGGTGTATGCAGAGCCTGACTCTTGTTCCTGGAGACGTCCAGAGCTGTGAAGGTGAGTGTCTATCTCTGGCCAGGGTGGGGGGTTGCCAGTATATGGGGGGCGGTGGTAGTGGAAGGCTCACTTGGGTGGGGGGGCTGGGGTTGTTGGTCAATGTCAGGCTCTCTTCATCTTCATGGGGGAGGGGGGGTGTTGGTTGGTGTCAGGGTCTCTTCGTGGTGGTGGTGGTGGGGGAGACGATTTTTGTGTTGCCTAGGGCAGCATGAAACCTAAATACACCACTGTATGAACCTGTTTTATTTAAACAAAGGAGAATTTGATCTGGGAACTCTAGTCTTTGTTTTCAGTATTTTAGAGGTTTTCTGTTTTGTTAAGGAGGATAGAAAAAAAGAGAGGAAGTTTACATGGCTTTAGACACGTTCACAGTAACTTATCTTCCCCTGGACACACAGATTAAACAGAATGTACCAGCGAGCAATAGATTACTATCTATTATTCACTGTTATCAACATGTAAAACATTTCTATATTGGGAAATGTTGCAGCAAGTGGATGCGGAGCAGAAGTGACTGAGCATGGCTGCTGGACCTCAAAAGGAAATGACAGATTATTTATTTATTTATTTCAGGTACTTATATAGTGCCATCAATTTACACAGCACTTTACATATATATTGTACATTCACATCAGTCCCTAACCCTCAAGGGGTGTACAATCTAAGGTTCCAAATTTATATTCATACATACACATCCAAGGGCCAATTTAGACAGGATTCAATTAACCTATCAGCATGTCTTTGGAGTGTGGGAGGAAACCCACGCAGGTACAGGGAAACATGCAAACTCCAGGCAGGTGGTGCCGTGGTTGGGATTCAAACCCATGAGCCTAGTACTGCCAGGCAGAAATGCTAATTATTTAGCCACTGTGCTGCCCATATGACATCACAGAGCACTCCAAATTTAAACAAAATGCAAAAGCATTACGCTGTACTATGCTATAGAACACTGTTATGTAGCACTCAAGCTATTGATCGATTCAGCACCTGAATTTACTGCTATACTGCGGTGCCCAGTATTTGGTGGTTCCAGTCAAAATCCTATGGGAAATGCTGAGACCAGACAGCTTTTTAAAAGGCAACTAGTACCCCCAGTGCTTATTTACTGTACAGGTTACCCTGAAAAGGTGCTGTGGCTAGCTTGATCATCAATCAATACATTTCCTGATTAAAAAAATAACTGTTTTGAGAAAGCTATGAAGGCTGTCACCCTGCCAGTGTTGACTTCCACCCTAATCCTCCGGGGTGGACATATTATTTCTACAGACTGTTCAGCTGCAAAAGGGCCGTTTGGTTCTAAGGGGCCCGTTTATATTAGATGTGGGTCAGATACATAGTGGGATACCTCCCACTGTCAAGTATACTTGGACACCACTCACTTTTATATTAAAGTTTAAGCCTCCCATGCTGCTAGTAGTAAGGCTCCCTGCTTCCCCCCCTCTTTCGCCGGCTGAACACAATAGCATTGTGGGAGACATTCCCTGATTGTGTTGTTGGGGGAATCAAACAATTTTCTTTCCTGGAAGGAAAGCAAATTGAATTATCTATGGGCTGCCTTAAACCAACCATAGATGAATCAAATCTCAGCTGATTCAGCCAAGTTCCATCTATGGGTGGGTTGATTGTACCCAAGTCGATCCATCAATTGAGTTGGGTACAACCAGACTGTCGGATTTTTAGCTTGCGATTACTGCCAGGAGCTATAGACACTAGCAGTAATACTGACTTTGATGGGGGAATCGAGTGATTTTCTTTCCTTCTACCCAGATAGTGTTTTTATCGCTGTCTGTGCCCCTGCTAGAGACTAGAGAGCTCCTGTTTACCGTTATCCACTTTGGATTTCCTCTCACTTCCTGCTTTGGCTATGGAAGTAAAGGGAAATCTCCCCAATGGGACACAGAGGGCAAAAAAAAACCTGACAGGAATTATAACCCTCCCTTACGCTATCCCAGGGGTCTCCAAACTTTCTGAACAAAGGGCCAGTTTTCTGGTCTTCTGACTTTAAGGAGGCTGGACTGTAACTAGTGGGAGTGAAAAATGCAGCAGAAATAGAGTCCAATCATTGGTGTCAGAAGAAGGAATAGCACGCTATTATTGGTATCAGTGAGAGGAATAGTTCCCCAACATTGGTGTCAATGGAAAAAATGGTTCCCCAACACTGGTATCAATGAAAGAAAATTTGCCCCAATATTGGTGTCAGTGGAAGGACCGGTGCCCCAACATTGGTGTCAGGGAAGGACTGGTGCTCCAGCATTGGTGTCAGTGGCAGGAATAATGCACCATCAATGGTATCAGTGAGAAGAAAAGTGCCCCATCTTTATTGTTAGCAGGACTAAAAGTGCTCTATATTTTATATCAGTGGATGGAATTATGCCCCATTGTTGATGTTAGTGGCAGGAACAGTACCCCAATGATGGTACCAGTGGGAGGAAAAGTGAACCATCTTTAGTGTTAGTGGAAGTAATAGTGTTCTGTAGTTTATATCAGTGGGAGGAATTATGTCCCAATGGTGGTGTTAATGGAAGGAATGGTGCCCCAAGGGCCAGATCAAGGCAATCAAAGGGCCGCATCCGGCCCCTGGGCTGCAGTTTGGAGATCACTGCTCTAATCAAACAAAAACATGTTGTGCCTTTAGTTATACTTTAAGTAGACAATGCTATTTAACAGTGGTTTGTTATATATAAGTGTACTGTATATGCCCTTTATACCTGTATTTTTATACCTGTATATTTTTTGTAGTTTTCTTTGCGTTTAAAGTTGAAAATGAATCAAAAAATCAACACTCCAAGAGTTTCCAAAGAACTGGCTCTCCTGCCTTTGAGAAAGTCTACACAGCAAAGTAAGTTTTGAAAATTTTATAAACCCTTGGCCTCTGTCATTGGACTTGATGACTGCACACATTCCCAATGAAACTGCAGTTTCAAAATGGATCATTTAATAAGTTACAACTATGTTGTCAGGGAGTCAAACTTAGAACCGTTCCAGTAAGGACCAGATCTGTGGGAAGGCTAAGTAGACATATGATGGGCAATTTTATTGGAAGGATTCCATGAGCTTTAAAATGGTGTGGGATTGAATAAAAATGCCTACTGACTGGTATTTCAGTGATTCTGAATAATTTATAATTAAAGGACAAGTTCAGCTTTTTAAAAAAAATAATAAATGCACTTTTTTTGCAGGTATTTTTTTTTCATTAGGAGCCTGTAAAGCATTGCTACTGTGTTCAGCAGATCACTGGTGCATTCTCAGGCTCCTGAAGACTGTCAGTGTATCTGTCTGCTCATACAGGTAGGAAGTTACACAATAACAGGAAGACTCAATGAACTACCTAGAGCACTCATTAGTGCCCATGGTAGTTAATTGAGAACTACAAGCAGTCAGCCGCAAAGGCTGTGGGTACCTGTAGTTCACTCATTCAAAGATCTCCATGAATGAATGACACGGCCATGTGGGCAGGGCCTTGCTCAGCCATACTGTTTTCAAATGTGACTATGGGTGACTATGTGACTATGGGTGTGGGTAGAAGATCCCTGGCCCACTGTCACAATAAGGGGGGATTGGTGAGAGGCCCTATAAACGGGTGGAACATGGAACATGTTCCCAAAGGTGATCCTATCCTTTAAAGGTAACAATTTAATCTGCCTTACAGCTGAAGTTTATGGTTTGCTTAAAGCACAGACTTCATCATAGCCTATCCAAGAGATTACATATAGTCCTCAACTGTACATAATCCTTATTTCTGGAGTACCCACCTAATTCGCCATCCTTATTCAAGTTCTCCAAAAATAAAAACATCTAAAAAAAAACCCCTAGACTGGTTTTTGGAGAAACGTGGGAATGAGCCTATCTGCGTGGCTGCAGAGCAAAGCTTTTGGAGAAGATCTGGACAGTATTCCTGTGGCTCCTACGGGAGTAGTAGTGCTACAGGTTTATGGAACTATATCAGATCCTTTGCTGTGTACCTGGTCCTGACAGTTCACCATTAAAAATACTAAAGGTCCATTTACAGGCTGGCTGATATAAACTGGATTTGCCACATGGACATCCGAATGATTATATGTATCTAAGGAAAGATGAGTGACCCTGGATACAGAGAGATTTTATCCAGGGCAGTTGATCCATCCCTGCATGCATGTAACTGCTTGGATGTGCAGTTACATGTATACAGCAGGGGGCATCTGTCAGCCCGTCATTGATTTGTACAGATCGCTGCCTGCAGGCTGACACTTGTGACTCTAGGTTCAAAAATAAGCACCTTTATGGCAGTGTGCAGCCCTCTGTATAAGTGTGCTTGAACCCAGTGGCCCTTTCACACTGATACGTTTTTGATGCATTACCATTAACTTACAATGGTTGGGGCCAGTTTTGAAAAACTGCATCAAAGCTGCAGCATGCAGGACTTTTCAAAGCATAGCACACATGCAGTGTGAACACTTACAGAGGATTTAATGGGCAATAGATTGCATGCACCTTTTGTTGTCCTGGAAAAGCACAGCAAAAGCGCAGCAGTGTGATAGGGGCCTAAAAATAACAGCTGACATTTCATATTGTCTGCCTTCATGCAGGACTTTTTCTACATTTTTATAGAAAAATATAACTCACAATATATGCTCTCTATATAGCACAGTAATAAAGTATAGTTAAATTTTTTAAAAATAGTATTTATATTTGATCTGTATGTTTGAGCTCTTATACTTTCATCTTATTGGTTCTGATTTTTGCTCCTATGTAATGATAACCATTAAAATCCAATCACTAAACTGTTAATGAATATTACTAATCATTACTGAATGTCCCTTTGTTTTCCTTCAGCCAAAACTGTATTGACGCATATCCCACATTTCTCGCAATGCTTTGGTGCGCTGGAGTATTGTGTAGCCAAGGTAAATTATACCATGTTAATTATAACTATGATTACATTAATGTAAATTTTAAAATGGACCTACTGGCATATGGAAATAGCCATTGCTCATGCAATGTGAGGTCACCTGATGGTCTGCTGCTTAAAGTTCGTATGCGAGTATGCAGGTTCATCCAGCAGACATGTGGAGGAATGTTGGAAAGCTGTTGCAGATCTTACTCTTACCAGTTAAGATGATGCTGGACGCATGGCTATGGACACATGGTCTTCCCAGAAAAACAACAAAGACAAAGATGTGAAATGACATCATGACCTTAAAGTTCCACTAACACAAGCATTATACACAAAACCACCCAGTGGCAGAACTACTAATCACAGTATAATAGATGAGAATGGTTGTTGCACCTACAGTGCTGTGAAAAAGTATTTGCCCCTTCCTGATTTTTTATGTTTTTGCAGATTTGTAACACTTAAAGGAGTCAGGTCATCAAACAAATGTAGCTCTACCCTCAAAAGGGCTGCTGTGTTGTGGGAACCCCTAAGCTTCTCTCTGCACAGCCAGGCAACAGTTATTTAACACAGACTTGCATCCAAGAGACATTAACCAGTCCGAGGTATTGGTTTTGTTGTTTTATTAGGAGAAATCAGCTTGGATAGGGAAATAGGAATTATGGGATGTCCAGTTGGCTTGAATCAATGAAGGGGGGACAACTTCCTTCCTATGTACAAAGGCAGATCCTGGTCTGTTCTTTTCTTGAAAGCCGTCAGTCTTTGCGGATCAGTAGCAACAGCCCTTTATGGGTGAGGAACTAGCAGCCCCTCAAAAATCAGCTTAACGTCTTGTAACTACATGCAGGGATATTTTCTCTCTCCCAGTAGAGCTGCTCTCAGCTCCACAACCTGCAACACTACCAGCCCTCCTGGCTTCTCAGGGCAAGGATAAAGGATTGAGCGCAGTGCTATCCTTAGAAAGCTTGCTACATGTGGCAGTCTTTCCCCCTTGTAGATTCCAGAGAGTGCTACTGTACTCACTCTGTCCTCTTTACTCCCTGATGCTCCAGGTCTCGATCCTATTCATGCGACACTGCAGAATGTATCCTCCTGAGCCAGCCAGAGCCCAGCCTGGAGGCCAGCCCTCCCCTAGACCTACGGGACCCCTCTTAGGCACAGACAGTCAACTCAGCACTCCATCTTCCACCCAACTCTCCTGTCAGCCTGACTATCCCATATTAATGGGTCAGTCCACAACACTACCAGGGCCTCCAAACCTGGGAATGGGCAGACTCCTGTAAACATGCAGATTAGGTCTCCACCCCTTCCTTCTTACTGACTTCTGGAAGGTTCTATGGTCCTCTAGAGTCAGGCGGAGGTGATCGAGCCACAACCTGTTAAGTTATCTAACTGACCTGCAATAACCCAACCTCAATCACAGACTCACACAGTTACCATGCGTCATACACAATGATTTTACCTACAATACACTACTCCAGTAGCACACTAGAGGATGCTACACAAAGATAACCCAAGTAAATATAAAATGCAGTTTTTAAACGATAATTCCATTTATTAAGGGAAAAAAATCTGTCCAAATCTGCCTGACCCTATGTGAAAAACTAATTGTCCCCTAAACCTAATAGCAGGTTGTGCCACCCTTGCTGGCAACAACTGCAGTCAAGCATTTGCGATAACTGGCAATGAGTCTTTCACATTACTGTGGAGGAATTTTGGCCACTCTTTTTTGCAGAATTGTATTCATTTAGCCACCTTGGATGGTTTTCAAGCATGAACAGCCTGTTTAAGGTTATGCCACAGCATGTCAATCGGATTTAAGTCCAGACTTGACTAGGCCACTCCAAAACCTTATATTGTTTTTTTTATGAGCCATTCAGAAGTGGACTTACTGGTGTGTTTCAATCATTGTCCTGCTGCATAACTCAAGTGCATTTGAGCTTGAGGTCACAAACTGATGGCTGGACACTCTCCTTCAGGATTTTCTGGTAGAGTGCAGAGTTCATGGTTCCATCAATTATGGCAAGTCGTCCAGGTCTTGAAGCTGCAAAGCATCCCCAGACCATCCCACTACCCCCAGCAGGACAATGATCGAAACACACCAGGAAGTCTACCTCTGAATGACTGTTGGCATGATGTTCTTCTTTATGAAATACTGTGTTAGTTTTATGCCAGATGTAACAGGACGCACACCTTCCAAAAAGTTCAACTTTTGTCTCATCAGTCCATAGAGTGATTAAGCGTTATCCCACACTGCATAAAGTAATCACAAATTAACTTACTCTAAATATCCTATGCTTATATCAATAATGGGTGGCTGCAAACAAATGACAGTGTTCCCACAGTCCAACAAATATCAAATAAAATAATTATTTTAAACAATTAAAGAGAAAAATTCCCAGCTCAACTTACCAACCAGCTTGCAAACAAACCAAATTAGCCTAACAGTATCCATTAAAAACTTGGGTTTAGTTAGCACACATTTGCAATTGCAATGCTAAGCTGCAGAGCCTCTTCACGGCACCCCAATATTCTGCAGTTCCTAACTCTACAAATTTTGAAAGCCCCCATAGCACAATGGCAGCCAAGGTGTCCAGTGCGCCCCTTCACCAACAAGTCAACAGTACAAAAAAATGGCCACTTCCCCAGTCTATAACTGGCCTTCACAGCAAGGAGCACATGGAAGGGTGACCCATGTCAAACAATTAAAGAGAAGAATTCCCAGCTCAACATACCAGCCAAACCAAATTAGCCTGTCTAACAGTATGCGTTAAAAACAGGTGTTTAGTTAGCGCACATTTACAAATACATGTGTAAGCTGCAGAGCTTTGTTGCGCCTTCCCTAATCATTAAATCTCTTAACTAATAAATAACATAATATATACCCTGTTCAAAATTATTATGCAAATTATATTTTTCTCATTTACCTAAATAATTGATGTAAATAACAATCAGCATAATTCTCATGTTATCAACTATTAAGAGTACAATTCAAATTATATTGAACAAACCTCCTAATGATAACAGTATTTTTTTTTAAACATAAAACACTTCCAATGACTGTTCCAAATTATTCCGCACAGTAAGTTTCAAAACACTTTATAGGTTGTAAAGAACTGAAAATTGTCACTTGTGTTTGCAGCATATTTACTGAAATAAAAAGCTATTTCAATCAAACTTTTAACAACATTTTAACTTTTTAAACATTTTAACAGGTCACGTTACATTGTAACATAGGACTCCTTATTTGATAGCAGCTTCACAAGTCTTGCATCCATTGAACTTGTGAGTTTTTGGACAGTTTCTGCTTGAATTTGTTTTCAAGATGTCAGAATAGCCTCCCAGAGCTGCTGTTTGGATGTAAACTGCCTCCCACCCTCATAGGTCTTTTGCTTGAGGATGCTCCAAAGGTTCTCAATAGGATTGAGGTCAGGGGAGGGTGGAGACCACACCATGACTTTCTCTCCTTTTATCCCCATAGCAGCCATTGATGCAGAGGTATTCTTTGCAGCATGAGATGGTGCATTGTCATGCATGAAGATTTTTATTACGGAGAGCATAGTTCTTCCTTCTGTACCAGGGAAAAAAGTGGTCAGTCATAAACTCCACATACTTTGCAGAGGTCATCTTTACACCTTCGGGGACCCTAAAGGGGCTGACCAGCTCTGTTTCCATGATTCCGGCCCAAAACATGACTCCACCACCGCCTTGCTGACGTCGCAACCTTGTTGGAACAGGGTGGTTGTCCACCAACCATCCACTACTCCATCCATCTGGACCATCCAGGGTTGCACGGCACTCATCAGTAAACAGGACTGTTGAAAATTTGTCTTCATGTATTTTTCTGCCCAATGCAACTGTTTCTGCTTGTGAGCATTGGTTAGTGGTGGCTGAATAGAAGGTTTATGCACAGTTGCAAGACTCTGGAGGACTCTACACCTTGATGTCCGTGGGACTCCAGAGGCACCAGCATCTTCAAATATCTGTTCGCTGTTATGTAATGGTATTTTAGCAGCTGCTCTCTTGATCCGATGCATGGATCTGGCAGAAAACTTCCTCAATGTGCCTTTATCTGCACGAACCCGTCTGTGCTCTGAATCAGGCAAAAATCTCTTAATAGTGCAATGATCACGCTTACGTTTTCGTGAAATATCTAATGTTTTCATACCTCGTCCAAGGCATTGAACTATTTCACTCTTTTCGGCAGCAGAGAGATCTTTTTTCTTCCCCATATTGCTTGAAAATGGTGCTCTGCTTAATAATGAGGAACACCCTCCTTTAGTAGTTTTTCCTTAAATTGGGCTCACCGGCCAATCTAATTATCACAGGTGTCCAAGATTGTTTTCAGTGATCAAAAGAGCCCTGAGCCACAATGCCATCCATGAGTTAAACTGAAAAACAAAATATTTAATCTTTTGTGACACTTAAATAGAATTTGCATAATAATTTGGAACAGGGTGCAGTGCAAATTCATACATGTGAACCAAAAATAAATATCCACTTGCTGTCACTGGCTCTGGCATATGCTGATCAGCAGGTCCTGGCCAATAATTCATGGCTGGGACTGGCCAATTGGAGCAGCAAGTGATGGGAGAGAGATCTGGATTGGTAAACAACACAGATCTCTCTACTGACAGCAGGGATGTGCTGGTTTTTGTCTTCCTGCAAATAGGGAAAACATCCCTTAGTAAAAGCACCACAGCACACAGTTAACCTTTTGATTGTTCCAGATGTTAACCCCCTTCCTACCCAGTGTCATTAGTACAGCGACAGTGCAAATTATTAGCACTGATCACTATATTACTGCCACTGGTGATGTTAGTGTCAGTTATCCAGTGTCAGATTGCCCATTGTACTATCACAGTCCCACTATAAGTCGCTGATCATCGCCATTACTAGTATAAAATAAATAAATAATTCAATAAATAAAAAATTCCAGTATATGTACCTTCATTTGTAGACTCTATAACTTTCATTCAAACCAATTAATATACACTTTTGGGGATTTTTTTTATTAAAGACATAAAGAATACATTTTAACCTAAATTTATGAAGAAAGTTTTTTTATTGCATGTTTTATAACAGAAAGTAAAAAAAGTGTTTTTTTTTAATTATTGATTTTTTTTGTTTATTTAATACAAAATAAACAAACCCAGTGGTGATCAAATACCACAAAAATAAATCTCTATTTGTGTGAAAAAAATTATATAAATTTAATTTGGGTACAGGGTTGCATGACCGTGCAATTATCAGTTACAATAGCACAGTGCATAGTAAAAAATTGCCGAGGTCAGGAAGGGGATGAAATATTCTGGAGGTGAAGTGTATATATAAGTGGCTACAAAAAAATGTTCATACATAATCCTAGTTCATAAAATGTTAAGATCTACAAACAATATTGTTCCTTGCAGTATATTCCAACCAAATTCCACCATACGTGTCAATATTCTTAATCCATGCACAGTGACTCCCACCACCATTCACATATGTGCTCACCATTAGATGTGACTTAAATGCAACCAGGTCACAGGCTTCTCTTCACTACAACCTTATATCATCAGATACTCAAGATCGTATGGGCTGTTTTCCACTTCCTGAGTGTATGGCCCTTTAGATTTTTGGATTTCACTCTGCAATCAAGCTCATGCAACAGAGGATACACTCATAGTGTAGTATGTTGAATAAAAAATTACTTTTATGAAAAGTATTGTATTTACATTAAAGAAAACAAAATAACAGCTAAAAATAACAGACAGCGGGGCTGCAGCTTCTGTGTCACTTCTGGTCCCGGGACTCGTCACCTGGCTCCGCTTAATGGGTGTCCATCACGGTCACGTGACTTCAAGTCCACAGAGTATTTGCCCAAAAGTCTTAGGGAGAATAAAGATGTGTTTGGCAAATATGAGATGAGCCTTTGTGTGCTTTATAGTCAGCAGTGGCTTTTGCCTTGGAACTCTCCCATGGAAGCCATTTTTGCCCAGTCACTTTCTTATTGTTGAAGCATGAACATGATGCTTAACCACTTCCTGTCTGGCCCATGTACATAAACAGCCAGATGGGAGCAGTGCAGGAGCGGGTGGCTGTTTATAAACGGCCTCCACATTCACTGCCTGTGCGCGCTCACTGGGAGCACGTGGCACCGTGATCCAGTGCCCGCTGTGTCCTCCGGACACAGTGGAACACCGATCACTGTAATCATGTGATCACTGATTGGCCAATCAGGGATCACTTGAATAGTAGTAAACAAGATGTCACTTCTGACATCATTGCTTACTACGTGTGAAATCTGTGAATGACCACAGAGGTCACTTGGTACAAGGCTATTCACAACAGCCTTGTACCATGTGACAAGCTGTGACCAATCACAGCGCTCACAATATTTTCAATGGCTGCAAGAATGCAGCCAGAGAGAAGGAGAAATGATTGCTTTTACAGCATTTATGGGTGTAAAAGCAATGTGTTAAAAAAAAAATATTCATCACCCCCCCACTATGATGACACTGTACTGCAAGGGTGACAGTATGTTAAAAAAAAAAAAAACATAAATAATAATATAAAAAAAATAAAGTAAAAAAGGTAAAAAAAATTGTGAAAAATTATAATTTTTGGTTATTGTTTTTACTAAAAAGATAGCTGAATAAATTTTGGCCAATATTTATGAAGGAAGATTATTTATTTGCAAAATGTTATAAGAAAAACACTTTTCTTTCAAAATGTTTGGACTTTTTCATTTAAATAGCAAAAAATAAAAATCCCAATGGTGAATAAATACCACCAAAATAAAGTTTTATCTGCCTCGAAAAAATGCTAAAAAAGTCATATGGGTACAGTGTTGCATGACCGCGCAATTGTCATTTAAAGTGTGATAGCACTGAAAGCTGAAAATTGGCCTGGACTGGAAAGGGGTGAAAGTGTCCGGACTTGAAGTGGCTAACTGAGGCAAGTGAGGCCTTCAGTTCTTTAGATATTGTTCTGGTTTCTTTGACTTCCTGGATTAGTCATCCTTCTGCTCTTGGAGTACTTTTGTTAGGCCAGCCATTCCTGTGAAGCTTGACCACTGTTCCAAGTGTTCTCCATTTGTGGATAATGGCTTTCTCCGTAGTCTACTGGAATCTCTGAGCCTGAGAAATGGCTTTGTGACCCTTTCCAGACTGAAACATGTAAATTACCTCTCATCTGTTCTTGAATTTCTTTAGATCGAGGCATGATGTGCTGCTTTTGGGGATCTTTTAGCATACACTTTGTCAGACAGCTTCTATTTAAGTGATTTCTTGATTCAACATATCTGGCAGTAATCATGCCTGGGTATGGCAATGAAATTTAACTCGGCTTTCCAAAAAATGTGGTTAATCACAGTTAATTCATGATTTAGCAAGGGGGGCTAATTACTTTTTAACATAGGGCCAGGCAGGTTTTGACAGCTTTTTTCCCTTAATAAAAGAAATCATAATTTAAAAAAACTGCATTTTGTATTTACTCGGCTTATCTTTGTGTAATATTAAAATTTGTTTGATGATCTGAGTAATTTAGGTGTAATAAATATGCAAAAAAAAAATCAGGAAGGGGAAAGTACTTTTCACAGTACTGTATGTCTTCATAAACAGTACATTAACAGGGACTTTAGGGAATATCAGAGCCTCTGACTCTCCAGTTTCAGAATAAGTACAACTAAGTAAGGAAGAAACATAAATCTTAAAAAGGTGATCCTGCACAATCATAATAAAGAATAATATTCATATTCCTACATATGCCCAAACATGACTGTCTTTAAGGTTTTAAGCCTTTGGAACATGGGAACCTGAGCCCCTGCAATGTAAATTGCAGTGCATTTACCTTGTCTGAAAAGGTGCTGCATGCAGCCAGATAATAAAATTGAAATATGTATGGCCACCACCTGTATCTATGGAAAAAGCCATAGTTTTCACCTTAAGACAGGACAACAAACATGTCTTCCTATCTTCATGCCCATTACATGGAAGAGGCAGAAATTAGTAGTTTATAGAAGATGGCTTGATATATCAGGTTCATACATCAGTTCACTTTACAAAAAATTGCAAAGTTACTACAGTTATGGCAAAAGCAATAAGTATTTTCTGTACTTGCTGAAAATTGAATGCCCCTGAAGAAGGAAAACTAATGCAGTGACCACTAAGAATTGGTAAGCTGCAATATATTACGTTTTTGTACATTTTCTTGGGTTTAAAATGATATCCTTTACCATTTTCCTTCAGTTCAGTGGGGCCGCATATACTTTATAGTACAAATACTTTACAGTATTTAAGAAATGTAACAACATAATAACCAATTTTGAGCACCCTCTACCTTTTTTGATCAGTTCTCTCAACAGTAATGCATAGAAACCTAAATATGGAAAAACAGAATCATTGGGGTTGGTTTACTTAAAGTAGTACTATAGGCAAAACTATAGGACAAAGTGGAGGTGGATTAGAGTACCTGTCAGGTTTTTTTTTGCTGTCTGTGCTCCCATTAAGGAGATTCACCCTCTCTATTTGTCCTAATTACCATTATCATTGAGAGGGAAAGTAAATCCCAAATTTTGGGTTGTCCCCAGAACAGTAATAGAGGGGAAATCTTCCAATGGAGACACTGGTTCTGGTGACCTGGGGGGGGGGGGGGGCAATGGATTGCTTTAACCACTTCCTGTCCGGCCCATGTACATAAACAGCCGGATGGGAGCAGTGCAGGGACAGGTGGACGTTTATAAACATCCTCATCCACAGTGGAACACTGATCGCTGTACGGGACCTCTGTGTGCGGTCCCAATCATGTGATCACTGATTGGCCAATCAGTAATCACATAAATAGTAGTAAGTAAGATGTCACTTCTGAGATCATTGCTTATTACTAGTGAAATCTGTGAATGATCACAGAGGTCACATGGTACAAGCGGGCAGCCCGCTCTAGAAAGATTCCTGGTGGTTCCAAACTTCTTCCATTTATGGATGATGGAGGCCACTGTGCTCATTGGGACCTTCAATGCTGCAGAAATTTTTCAGTACCTTTTCCCAGATCTGTGCCTTGATACAATCCTGTCTTGGAGGTCTACAAACAATTCCATGAACTTCATGGCTTGGTTTGTGCTCTGACATGCACTGTTAACTGTGGGACCTTATATAGACAGGTATGCCTTTCCTAATCATGTCCAATCAACTGAACTTCCCACAGGAACAGGATGTACCAGAGCTCAATTTTGAGTGTCATGGCAAAGGATGTGAATACTTATGTACATGTGTTTTTTTTCGTTTATTATTTTTAATAAATTGCAAAGATTTCAAGACAAACTTCTTTCACATTGTCATTATGGGGTGTTTGTAGAATGTTGAGGAAAAAAATTAATTTAATCCATTTTGGAATAAGGCTGTAACATACCAAAATGTGGCAAAAGTTAAGCGCTGTGAATACTTTCTGGATGCACTGTAGGTCTTTATTAGTGTCAGTGTTAGTGTTGGTATCAGTGTCAGTTTTAATATTAGTATCAGTTCATGTCAGTGTGTTTTAGGTGGTATAAAAACTTTGTATTTAGTTTAATTCAGATTTGGGATCGGCATGCTATAGGTATGATCTTTGGTGGTGGGTTTGGGGTGGTAATTGCAACAAACATACAGTTAATATAAAAAAAAATGTGTTTAATATTTTTGGCTGGTTCATAAAAAAAATCAGGAAATGTCCTTTATAATTTAGCACCAAATGAAAGCCCAATTTGTCTTGAAAAAAAAATCGAGGGATAATTCACCTGGATACACTACGTTGTTGTGATAATATGTATGGTTCTACTAGCACATGTCAAAGTTGCAAAACTGCGTTCAGGCAAAGGGTTCAAATGTCCTTGATAAATTGAATATTCTTAAATGAATCATTTTGTTTCTGTGTTTTTTTTTATATACAGCACCCGCTGCTTTCGCTGGTCTTATGTATTTATTTGTCCGACAGAAGTACTTTGTTGGTTATCTGGGTGAGAAGACACAGAGGTAATACCGGTCACTGAGTTGATGATATTAAAAGGTGGTAATAAGTCAGTACAGAGCCAGCACTGGGCCTCATTCACATGGGTGCTATGGCCAGTACAGATTGAATGCATCTGAAGCTCCATGCAGGAGGCCCATGTCTCTTTACGGTAAAGGTAGGCAACCATTCAGAGTTTGAGATCTAACTGGACAACATGGAAGAAATCAAAGATAGCTAAAGGAGTGGGGGGGGGGGCACACTTTTAAAAAAGAAAAACCTATCAAGTCCCACCCAAAAAACACACCACAGTGTCCTGTGCCCCCCACTAATGTCCTCGGCTCCCCTTCACATCATTCCTTTCACAGTAGTGTCCTCTGCCACTCCATAGCAGTGTCCTATCCCCCTTCACATCATTCCACCCACTATAGTGTCCCCTGCCCCACATAGCAGTGTCCTCTGTCCCTCTCCACCCCACAGTAGGATCCTCTACCCCTCCCCCTATAGCAGTTTCCTATGCCCCCCCATAGCATTGTCCTCTGTCCCCTTCACATCACAGCCCTCCTCACATTGTAGTGTCCTCTGCCCCCCCCCCCCCCCCATAGCAGTGCCCTCTGTCCCCTTCATATCACCCCCCCACTGTAGTATCCTCTGCACCCCCCATAGCAGTGTCCTGTGCCCCCTCAAAGCAGTGTCCTCTGTCCCATTTACACACCCCCAATGTAATGTTCTCTACCCCCCCCCATAGCAATGTCCTCTGTCCTCTTTATACCCCCACTGTAGTGTCCTCTGCTAAACCACAGCAGCATCCTGCCCTTTGCCCCCACCTAACTGTAGTGTCCCCTGTCCCCCCCCCCCAAAGCAATGTCCTCTGTCCCCTTCACACACCCCACTGTTGTGTCCTCTGCCCCCCAAACGTAATATCCTCTGTCCCTTTCACATCCTCCCCTCACTGTAGTATCCTTTGTATCCCCCCCCCCCCCAATGCAGTGTCCTCTGTCCCCTTCACATCACAACCCCTCTCCCAGTGTAATGTCCTCTGCCCCCCTATAGCAGTGCCCTCTGTCCTCTCTTCATATTGCCTCCCCTCTGCATACCCCAATGTAGTTTCCTCTCTCCACTTCACACCCCCCACTGTAGTGTCCTCTGCCCTTCCAAAGCAATATCATCTGTCCCTTTCACACCCTCCCCTCGCTGTAGTGTCCTTTGTGTCCCCCAAATGCAGTGTCGTCTGTCCCCTTCACCCCCTTCCACATTAGTGTCCTCTTCCCCCCCATGTGGTGTCCCTCTGTCTACTTTACCCTTTCCCCCTACTGTAGTGTTCTCTGTCCCCTTTACCCCTCCCCCCTACTGTGTTGTGCTCTGTTCTCTACACACACACCCCTCCCTTCCCACAATAGTGTCCTATGTCCCCTTCACACCAGTGTATAGGTAGCACTCTCCTACCTTACACTGGTGTATAGAGAGCAGAGAGCAGGAAGAATGACAGTACTGAATAGAGGGCGAGGGTGGGAGCTGCTGGAGTTAACTTTTTACATTAACAAGCTGGTGATTGGTTGTTAGAACTGCCTGGCAACCAATCGGTTGCTGGTTAATGTGAAAAGTTAACTTCAGCAGCTCCTGCCCTCTCCCTCTATTCAGTACTGACACTTCCTGCTCTCCGCTTTGCAGTGAAGAGGAGAATGGTGGAGGCTGGGGGAATTACTGTGTGCAGGGCTGTGTTCCTGATCAACCTGTCGGCTGTCTGTGGTTGATGGGTTGATCATGATTGACAGTTTGTAGACCCCCGCTCTAGGGGGACAAAATAGCTGTATGGATACAGCTGCATATCCTAATATGACAGGGGTGTAGGGGCAGGTTATTTGTCCCAAACACAGATAGTGTGCATTCAGGGCTGCTCACCTGCCCCTGCACACCTGTCATATTAGGAAAAGTGGCTGTGTCACCATACATATACTGTACACATACCTATACAGCAGGGTTGCCAACCATCAGTAAATTTACAGACAGCTTGTAAAAATCAGTGATTTTTACAACTGTTTGTAAATTTCAGGGGATGATAACTTGTCATCTGTGTTGACTTTTGTAAGTGTAAACCAGTCAAATTACTTGTTGTAGGTATAGTCAATGTTTCCATATTGTGTTTATCCTGTTTAACTCCTTGGCGCCGGCGCCTTCCGCACTTTAAGGGTTTCAGAAGTCGGGAGGAGGGGCGGGGTTTTAAGCTCATGTGACCTCTGTGATTCGCCGTCACAGCAGTCACATGTTTGGGAAAGGTCCCGATCGAAAGAGGAGATTGGGACCTTTCCGTGAGTACCGGACATTTGTGCTGGGAGTGCGCAGGCCTTGTGCTCTCAGCACATATGTTTTTGTTAATTGCACGCAAATGTGTGGCCGTTTGGCGTCAAGGCCCAAACGCCGGCATGAAGAGGGTAAATATTGATTGTCTAAATGACAAGTGCATCATCAGTACATTTTCCATGTTTTGTCAGTAAAAAATGCTGTGGAAGGTTGGCAACACTGATATACAGCTGCTGCATTACCATAAAGAACCATAGGCTGCCCACACACAGCTTCAGATGCATAGACAATGTGCTCATTTGCACTGTGCGGACCAGAACATCCATGTGAACATGTATTGGAAATGTGTCAGAAAGCCCATGGCCTCAGCTTTGAAGCTTTTAGAGGTTGCTCATAGGGCATAAAAATATGTGACTGTAGAAGTGGTCTAATGATTAATTTATAGGTAACTTGGTAACAATGTATTCTGAGTCTTTTGGGGCCTACTTCACATAGGTGATTAATAGTTTACACTGGATTCCAGTGGCAAAAATTACGAGATTCTTGCAACTGGGATGTGAGGCGTATGTGAACAGTGGTGCCTGCTCAGCCTGTACATAGTAATGACAGGCTGAGGTAAGCCATCAGCGTTCATATGTTGTTGCAGTCTTTACCTCCTGTGGTTAGGGATGGATATCCAAACCTAGACCCATCTTTTTGTGTCCATTGGTGATCATCTGTCCCTAACCATAGGTCAGTCACGGCCATTATCGTCCCTACCCTCAGACAGTCACGGCCATTATCCTCTCTACCCTCAGACAGTCACGGCCATTATCCTCCCTACCCTCAGACAGTCACAGCCATTTATCCTCCCTACCCCCAGACAGTCACGGCCATTATCCTCCCTACCCTCAGACAGTCACGGCCATTATCCTCCCTATCCCCAGACAGTCACGGCCATTATCCTCCCTACGCCCAGACAGTCACGGCCATTATCCTCCCTACGCCCAGACAGTCACGGCCATTATCCTCCCTACCCTCAGACAGTCACGGCCATTATTCTCTCTACCCTCAGACAGTCACAGCCATTATCCTCCCTACCCCCAGACAGTCACGGCCATTATCCTCCTACTCCCTAGACAGTCACGGCCACTATCCTCTCTACTCTCAGACAGTCACGGCCATTATCCTCTCTACCCTGAGACAGTCACGGCCATTATCCTCCCTACCCTAAGACAGTCACGATCATTATCCCCTCTACCCTCACACAGTCACGGCCATTATCCTCCCTATCCCCAGACAGTCACGGCCATTATCCTCCCTACCCCCAGACAGTCACGGCCATTATCCTCCCTACCACAAGACAGTCATGGCTATTATCCTACCTACCCTCAGACAGTCACGCCCATTATCCTCCCTACCCTCAGAAAGTCATGGCCATTATCCTCCCTACCACAAGACAGTCACGCCCATTATCCTCCCTACCCCCAGACAGTCACGGCCATTATCCTCCCTACCACAAGACAGTCACGCCCATTATCCTCCCTACCCCCAGACAGTCGCGGCCATTATCCTCCCTACCACAAGACAGTCACACCCATTATCCTCCCTACCCTCAGACAGTCATGCCCATTATCCTCCCTAAGCCCAGACAGTCACGGCCACTATCCTCCCTACTCCCAGACAGTCACGGTCATTATCCTCCCTACCACAAGACAGTCATGGCCATTATCCTCCCTACCCTCAGACAGTCATGATCATTATCCTCCTTACCCCCAGTCAGTCACAGCCATTATCCTTCCTACCCTCAGACAGTCACGATCATTATCCTCCCTACCCCAAGACAGTCACGGCCATTATCCTCCCTACCACAAGATAGTCATGGCCATTATCCTCTCTACCCTCAGACACTCACGGCAATATCCTCCCTACGCCCAGACAGTCACGACCATTATCCTCTCTACCCTTAGACATTCTCGGCCATTATCCTCCCTACCCCTAGACAGTCACAGCCATTATCCTCCCTACCCCCAGACAGTCACGGCCATTATCCTCTCTACCCTAAGACATTTACAGCCATTATCCTCCCTACCCTCAGACAGTCATGGTCATTATCCTCCCTACCCCAAGACAGTCACAGCCATTATCCTCCCTACCCTCAGACAGTTACGGCCAATATCCTCCCTACCCTCACACAGTCATGGTCATTATCTTCCCTACCCTCAGACAGTCATGGCCATTATCCTCCCTACCCTCAGACAGTCATGGCCATTATCCTCCCTACCCTCCCTACCCTAAGACAGTCACGGCAGTAACTAATATATATTTGGTTTTAAAGGGTTGAAGTGGCAACCCTAGCTTTGCATTCAATCACACAGGCAGAGCAGCCACAGCTAAATGTAGACACAGCTAATTCTCGCTACCGGAATTCACAGACTGGCGCATTATCACTCATGTAAAAAAGGCCTAGGCCTCATTCACATAGGCACTCCTGGGTTTAACCTTTCTAAGTCAGTAGGGAAGTATAAACAACCTGTATTCCTCCCACATTACTTTTCCCATGTTTCTGCTTTAAAGAAGGTTTAGTGAATTTAGTAGCATTTAGTCACAATTATACGTGCTGTTCACTTTTACATAGCCATGTTTGAATTTTCTTATCGGATCCTGGATGCATAGAATTCTACTTTTTTTCTATACCCAGGTAAACTGACCGTACCTAAACACAGTTAAACACAAAGTGTAAATGGCACCACTGAAAAATCATTGCATGCATTCATAGAAATGTCCTCTAAATGAATATAAACACAGGATGGACAGTGCTAATGTGAATGAGGCCTAAAGTATAACTAATTAATTTTAAATAGAGGGAGATGGATTAGAACACCTGGCTAAATAATAAGGGGTACCACATTCTAATTCGATATAGTATATAGAAAGAGGTAAAACAGATGGACTTTGAAGGTACCCAACAAATTCTTTTTTTGTCTTTTAATGTATTCCATACTTGTTCTTTAGTAAATTGTAAATAATTAAAATGTTTCTTTTAAACAAACATTTCTTAGGTACATTAAAAGTCTGTCTATTTGTATACCTATCAGGTTTTTATTGCTGTGTCCCCATTAGGGAGATCCACCATCCTGGTGACAATTATCACCTAAAGTGAAAGATAAAATCCCAAATTAGAGACTAGAAATCTTTCAGTTTGGACACTAGCTCTGGTGGCTAATAGGGATTTACCTCGCTTCAGAGAGATTTCCTTTCACTTCCTGTTGTGGCCACGGGACAGGAAATGAAGTGAAATCTCCCCAGTTAGACACAGATGGCAAAAAAACAGGGGCTATAACCCTCCCTAAAGGCAAAAAAATTTTTTGCCTTCAGTTCAAATTTAAAGAAAAACTGTCATAAGAGAAATACAATGGCTGACAATGTGGACCTGTTTTTGAGAATGATTGTTGCCTGCCTATTCTTCTGGCACACTGACTATAATACTTTCTGAGTCTCTGAATTAAAACAGAATAAACAAAGATCCATACATACTGTATATTCCACTCTGACAATCCCTCCACTGGCCTCCGCTCACCCAAGGAATTAAATTGAAAATACTAACAACAACTTACAGAGCCATCCACAACTCAGCCCCAGCTATATCTCTAACCTAGACTCAAAATACCAACCTAATCATTCTCTTCATTCCTCCCAAGACCTCCTGCTCTTTAGCTCCCTTGTCACCTACTCCCATGCTTAGCTCCAGGACTTCTACCAAGCCTCTCCTATCCTCTGGAACTCTCTACCCCAATCTGTCCACTTTCTCCATCAGCACACCCCCCCACAGTAATGACCTTTTGTGTCTCTTGTAAGCTATAAAGAGTAAGGCTCTCTGATTCCTACTGTATTAAATTGTATTGTAATTGTACTGTCTGCCCTTATGTTGTAAAGCACTAAGTGAACTGTTGGAGCTATATAAATCCTGTATAATAATATATCTCCCATGATGACAGTTATTCTTTAATTATTAGGCCATTGCTTTTGTCCATTGCTGCTTGCCAAGCTCCTTTCCAAAACAATATATACAGTAAAAATAATTTTATGTGTGCAGCGGGCTGCCATTCAGAATACAGTGCTATACAGTGAGTATACATACTGTTATATATACCTCAAAGCAGTATTAAACCCAAAAACAAACATTTATTATTTTGCAGCTTACCAGCTCTTAGATGTGATGGCTGTGCAGCACTTCCCCCTTAGGAGTTTCAGAATATTTGGGTCCCCCTATAGTCCCGCACAGCCAGGCAACATGCATTTCCTTCACTCAGACTTGTAGTAGGACAGTAACCAGTCCTTTGTTTTGAAGTTTTATTAAGGGGTTTAAAACTTGGATGGGGTAATGGGGTGTATGGGATGCCTGAGGGAATGGCAACTGAGGACAAACTCCTTAGCAACTATATATAGTCTTTACAGCAAAGTTTGTCTTCTGGAGAGCACTCCAGCCTCTCCTTTAGTACCACACCAGACCCCAGATGGACCCTCTCCTCATCCAGCTGTACTGGGTGAATTCCTGGGCAGGGGATCCAGTGCCTGCCACTGCAGTGTGAAGCAGATGGATTTTGAAGGTATCCAACAAATTATTTTTTGTCTTTTAAACGTATGTCAAACTCGTTCTTTAGTAAATTGTAAATTATTAAACAGTTTCTCTAAAACAAACATTTCTTAGGTATTCAATAGTCTGTCTATTTTCCTCATTTGTATACATAGCAGGTTTTTGCTGCTGTGTCCCCTTTAGGGAGATCCACCATCCTGGTGACAGTTATCACTTAAAGTGAAAGATAAAATCCCAAATTAGAGACTAGAAATGTTCCAGTTTGGACACTAGTTCTGGTGGCTACTAGGGATTTCCCTTCTTTAGAGAGATTTCCTTTCACTTCCTGTTGTGGCCATGGGACAGGAAATGAAGCGAAATCTCCCCAGTCAGACACAGATGGCAAAAAAGACAGGGGTTATAACCCTCCCTAAAGGCAAAAAAAATGTTTTGCCTTCAGTTCCAATTTAAAGAAAAATTGTCATAAGAGAAATACAATGGCTGACAATGTGGACCTCCTTTTGAGAATGATTGCTAGATCGACTTTTGTTCAACCACAGTGACCGAACATGGATCAAAATTCCATTGGTCCCTGCGGAGCTGGCCAAATTTCAATCGATATATAGCCATCCAAACACTCTTCTTTTCCCCCCATAGATTACCAGTGCTGTTGTCCAGAGGTGAACCCTGTGCTTTTTCAACCCAGGTGTAGGTTCTCTAATGCAGGAGGTGTGTTACTGATCTGATCACCAGGAGAAGGGGGGGGGGGGGGGGCAAAAAAGAAAACCAATGCAGCCACCACATCTAATGACTGGCAAGCAGCAGCATATTACATTTTTGGATTTGGGTTCAATACTGCTTTAATGCAACACACAGGTTTAAATCCAGCCTTAACACAACAATCTACCGCCCATGGTTTCATGTGTTTCCTAGTTTTGATTGGTCAGACAGCTACATTAATCAATCACAATCCAGTCAATAGAATGTTTCAAGCAATTTTTACTCCAATTTGGCTCCTTTATTCTGGGAAACAATTGAAACCATAGGGAACAGATTGCTTAGGATGGAAACGGATGGAAATCAAGAAAATTGCTAGGTTTGTACTGTGTGTTATTTTACAAAATTAATGATTTGTGTTTGTTTCATTCCATAGCACTCCCGGATACGTATTTGGAAAGCGTATCATATTCTTCCTATTTGCCATGTGCATGGCAGGGATCCTTAACCATTACCTTGTCATGGTATTTGGAAAGTGATATGGAGATGTATATTAAAACAGTCAGTGGCACTTTTTCTCCTTTACTGCTTATTCCATAATTGGATCTTTGCTCCAGTATTAAAACTTTAATGAGTATTGCAAGTCTGTGTGGATAATTCTTAATGAGCTAATGTTCTGTATGTTTCACATATTTATCTCTTCCTTCACACAAATAAAAGCTTTACATTTAGATTTATCTCATAATTTAATTTCATTTTGTACAAAACATGTACTTGCATTACGTTGTTCCTCCACTGTTATTCTTGTATATTTCTATATGCGATATGTCACAACCACAGAAATGATTCCACACAAAACCTATTGATTTCTGTTGTTATTAAAGTAAATGTAGACTAATTGCATTAGTTTGGTAAAGCTATTTGTATCATAAAAAATCTCAGTATTTTAAAATAAAATATTGTTTCCACTTTATTTTACATCCCTTGTTGCATTTCAGTAATACAGATCTCCTGCAGTCTCTTTGAAGCCACTTCTCATCTTCATGCTCTGTTGTACAGTGATGGTTGCGTAGTAATTCTCAGGGGGGTTGGGGGTCCTAAAGGTGACAACATGCCTGTGTTATATGTGTTAACAACCACTTGTAGTGTAGTGTGTGACAGGTTGACAATGCAGAAACACAATTTGGAGACAGGGATGGAGTGTTGTTGGAAATGCCAAATGTTTGTCAAATCTTTTGGTCTTTGGTGTATATATGGCCAGCTTTAGCTGTACAGGTTCTATGTATATGTATATGTTTTGGGGGATTTTAAGAGGTCCTCACCAACCCACTTCCACTTAGCTATATATAATGAAGAGCATTGTGCTACAGATACCAGGTAATAAAATGCAAATGATTTCTGAAGTATGAGGAACATTGGTTATATTTTAGGAAGTGATGATATGCTGCACAGTTATTAATCTGTTTATAAGGCTCCATATATACTAGCATGTGCTCTTGGCAGCATTTAGCGATTTTTTTTATTCTGCCAGAAAAAAAAACGCTCTCAAAAACGCAATATAGAAGAGGGTTTTTTTCTGCCAGAAAAACGCTCTCAAAAATGCAAAATAGAAGGGTTTTTTTTCTGCCTCTAAACGCTGAACTTAAAATACGCCTCTAGTCTACCTAATGTGCGTGGACACATAGGATAATATTAGTTGCTTCAACAGGTAAAACACTAAACTCCAATAGGAGCAGCGTTTTTTAAGCAAGTGTGCATGGAGCCTAAAGATCAAAGAAGCTGATTTATGATAAATGCAAAAAGTACAGACAAGGAATTAAATCTCACATTTTATTTAAAACATTAAGCCTGGTGCAGATTAGCTTCAGTTATCAAACGCTAGCGTTAATGGGTCTTATTTCTTTATTGTTATTATTAATATAATACAGGATTTATATAGCTCTAACAGTTTACACAGGCTTTACAACATAAGGGCAGACAGTGCAATTACAATACAATTTAATACAGAAGGAATCAGAGGGCCCAGCTCGTTGGAGCTAACAATCTAAGAGGGAGGTACAAGAGATACAAGAGGTAATAACTGTGGGGGATGGGCAGATGAAGAAAATACATGTACAGTTGTTAGGTAGGGGCAGGATAGGCCTTTCTGAAGAGATGAGTTTCAGTGATCGTCTAAAAGTGGACAGAGTAGGATATAGCCGGACACATTGGGTAGGGAGATCCAGAGGGTGAGAGAGGCTCTGGAGAAGTCCTGGATGTGAGCATGGAAGGAGGTGACAAAGGAGCTAAAGAGCAGGGGATCTTGGGAAGAATGAAGACAATGATTTGGTTGGTATTTAGAGACTAGGGTAGTGATGTAGCTGAGGGCCGAGTTGTGGATGGCTTTGTAAGTTCTTGTAAGTATCATGAATTTAATTTGTTGAGCAATTGGAAGCCAGTGGAGGGATTGGCAGAGAGGGGTAGCAGACACTGAACATTTGGTAAGAAGGATGAGCTTGGCAGCAGCATTCATGATGGACTGAAGGGGGGATAGACTATGCAAAGGTAAGCCAGTGAGGAGAGAGTTGCAGTAGTCGAGGCAGCAGATTACCAGGGAGTGAGATAGAAGCTTTGTGGTGTCATTGGTTAGGAAGGGGCATATCTTGGAGATGTTGTGGAGGTTGAGGCAGCAAGCTTTGGACTGTGACTGGATGTGGGGCTGAAAGGATGGTTCAGAGTCCAGGATTAGACCTAGAACCTTGGCATGCAAGGACAGGTTGATAGTTGAGACGTTGATTTTGATGGAGAAGTCAGGGAAGGGGCACGTGGGGGAGGAAATATTATGAGCTTAATTTTGGATAGATTTATTTTCAGGAAGTGGTGTGATATCCAGGCTGATATGTCTAGAAGCAGATCAGTGATGCGTGATCAGACTAGTGGAATGAGCTAAGGGGTAGAGAGATAGATTTGGTTGTCATCACCAAAGAAATGTTGTTGAAAGCCATGGGAGACAATCAGCTGACCTAGGGAGGAGGTGTAGACTGAGAATAGGAGAGGTCCAAGAACAGAACCTTGGGGAACCCCTATGGAGAAAGGAAGAGGAGAAGAGGAAGTAGAATTGTAAGTGACACGGAAGGTGTGTAGGGATAGGTAGGATGAGGAGCAGCGAAGAGCACAGTCATGAAGACCTGAGGAGTAGAGTATTTTGAGGAGAAGGGAGTGGTACACTGTGTCAAAGGCAGCAGAGAGGTCCAGGAATAGGAGTACAGAATAGTGTTCATTGGTTTTAGCCATTTATGAGTTTAAGGAGAACAGTTTCCGTGGAGTGTTGTGGCCAAAATCCGGACTGAAGGGGAACAATAAGGTTGTTCTCAGTGAGATGGTTGCTCAGTCAGTTGTTGACCAGGTGTTCAAGGAGTATAGAGGAAAAGGGGAGTAAGGATATGGGTCATATGTTGCTAAGAGTGGGGTCTAGTGCGGGCTTTTTAGGTATGGGGGTGACTAGTGTATGTTATAGAGAGTTGGGGAAGTTGTGGGAAGAGAGGGAGAGATTGAAGATGTGAGTTAGAGAGTGTGGGATAGAATGACACTAATAAGGCGGTGATCAGAGAGTGGGAGAGGATTGTTGGAAAGGTTGCACGGAGTGCATGGATAGAAGAAAACAGGGTCAAAGATGTTGCCATCAGAGTGAGTAGACGCATATACCCATTGCTTCAAGTCAAAGAGGAGGCTAGACTGAGAAGTTTAGAAGTAGCAGGAGAATTGGCATTAACAGATATGTTAAAGTCACCAAGAATGATTGTGGGGGTTTGAGATGAGAGAATGTAGAGTAGTCAGGCAGAGAATTCATCAAGGAAGTTTGATATTGGTCCAGGGGGCCAGTAGATCCCAGCTATTCCTAGATTCGTAGAGAAATGGAGAGTGTCAGATGGAGAGTGTCAGAGAGGGAGGTGGGTGAAGTAACTGACAGGTGCTGCATGAGGCTAGGAGGATTCCTAATCTACCTCCCTTCTGTCCACTGGGTCTGGGGGAGTGAGTCCAGAGGAGGCCACCATGGGAGAGGGAAGCAAAAGGTTTGGCATTGAACAATCATGTACAATATACTTTTAAACATACACAGGTGTATGGCAAGGAAAGAAGGGAAGAAGGTGCGGGTAGCACCCCAGGTTCCTGTTGACATCTTTGTTGATTGCTTGCGGGCCTGACGAAAAAAAAAGTAAATTTTTTGTGCACAGACGGTAATATCCGATGAAGATGGATGGTCTATGTTATTATTTCTCATCCATTGCCATAGTACAAGTGTCCTGGGGAAGTTGGTTACCCTTGACTAGTCTATGAGGGAGCTCATGGTAAGGGGAATGGTTACTTAGGAGGTGGGGTGGAAGATAGATAAAGGTGCAGCAAAGGGAGGGGGTCTTAGATTGCTACAAAGAGATCTAGGGAAGGGATGGAGGGTAAGGCTCTGGCAGAGAGAGGCCAAAGTTTAACCCCACTTTAGGTGTCGCAGGATGGTGTCAGGATGTTTGAATGATTAATTGAGTCAGCAATACTGATCATTTAATTGATTGATGTATGGCAATGCATCCAATATAAAAAAAAATATTAAAAGTAACTAAGTTGACCAACTAATTATTACTGAGATTTATTGCTCTATGCAGATATTCTTTAAACACAATTAAATTAAATCAGATAGTAGTAGGTATCCTCTTGTAGATATCCTTACAATTAAACCCAGGAGACAATCTGTGTTTGAGCATCTATACCCATTATTCCACTGCAGCAGGATTAAAGGGCAGAGTCCATCTGTGAGTCAAGCCAATATGGCTAAAATAGAATAATCTAATCCCTAGGTGTTAGGGTATCGTGAGCGGAATATCAAATTACCCAGCATAAACTATTGCAAGTGAGATAGTAAATAAACAAACAATAATCATCTAAAGAATAATATACTATTAGTTACTCTCAGAAGCAGAATAAATGTACTGCTTAGAATGAATGGATAGGGCCATAAGATAGCGGCTGACCAAACCCTCAAAATGTTGACCAATGGGTGGAGTTAGATCAAGCAAATTGGAGCCTGTCTTTCAAAATAGTGTCGATCTCTGGTGGACATCAATGGTGAACAGGAATGCTGATGAAATGGAGAGATGGCTAAGGTTGTTGGGTGTTGTGTATTCAAGATCTGAGCTTACTTATTTATCTACCCAAAAAATTCATCTAATGTAAGGATCCCCCCAGAGGGTGTATTTGGTGCTATTTACTCACTCCTAATTGGAGGGCCATATTATTGATTAATTATCCACTTGCATAATCAATAACTCACTTAACCACTAGATGGCACTCTAAGACTAGAAATTGTAAATGAAATACTGATTCTACTCCCAGAGTCTAGGTGTTTGCTTACATGAGTTAAGTGTTTTTCAATCATTTTGTCAAGCATTTTTTTCAGGCATGTCTATGTTATCCTATGTGTCCATATACACATACTGTAGTTTAGAGGAGTGTACAGGCAGCTGAGGTCACTGGCATTTCTATGAAAGCACAAACACTGCATTCAGGACAAGAGTTTACCGGCTTTTAAAAGTCATCTATACATGCCTAAACGCACCTAAACGCTAGGC